CTCTCTCTCTCTCTTTCTCTCTCGGGCTCTGCATCTCTCTCCAGGCTCCCATTGGCTGCGAAGCGTTTGACCCCTCAACCTCACCTGCGGGCCAAGGCCCAGGACGATGGAGTTGGTGCGTCTCTTTGACCCCGTGGGTTACGCAAAGCTCCAGCACAGCAAATGCGCACTGGACTATCGCCGGGTCAGGGTGCCGGTGCCGGCCTTCTTTGCAGCTGCCATTTTCCTCTCCACTGCTATTCCCAAGCAGCAGAAGATTCGATTTCTGCTAGGCATGTTCGATGAGAACGACAACGGTAACCTCGAGATAACAGAGTTCGTCGACATGCTGTCATCCTTTTTCCAGGGAACTGCATGCCTTTTTGGGTTGTCAGAGCATCCCGACATGCCGAAGGGTGCTGCCAAGCAACAGCTGGGCAAGACACTGTTCCTTAGAATCATGGCTTCCGCCAGCACCAGGATGTCATTCTGGGAAGCCAAGTCCATGCTTGCCAACGGTAGTGCTCCCTTTGCAATCATCGAGGACTGGTTTCTGGGTGGTTCTGGAGATCCACTGTCTGCTCCGTTTGCCATGCTGCTGGAACGCTTCTCCGAAAGAGCAGCAGGTGTGCAGATGTGGCAGCCGCAGCAGTGCAAGCAACTGCAGTTGTCGCACACGGCCCCAGTCGAGCCGCCTGTGGAGGCAGATCCCATGCAGGACATCGCTTGTCTGAGCCCCAGTCAGATCAAAGTTGCACACAGTGTCTTCAATCACTGTCGCTCAGCGGACCGCTGGACAATCTCTCATGCTGAAGCCGAGCAAGCTGTGGGGCCAATAGATTCAACGCTCTGGAGTCAGAGGCTAGCTCGCGCTTTGGATGAGACTGCCGCAGCTCAAGACACTGCCGGTGTCAGCATGGCAGCCTTTGCAAAAAGACTTTGCTCAGGTGCCTCTGTCCGGCCTTTGCGCATGTATCAGGCATGGCTGAAGGAATTAGATCAGCTCGTGCGATTGCAGCGTGAGCTCGAGGAAAGCCGCGCTGCGCTCAAGCAGTTCACGGCCTATATTTCTCGGCCTGTGCTGCCAGCTGCAGTTCGAAAAAGCTTGCTGGAAGAGTATGACAGCTTTCAGATGAGGCAGGTGGCAGAGTCTTCCCCGGTGCGAAAGCGGCTTTTCCAGTCTGGGCAGATGGGCCTTGATGACTTTGTCATGGCCGTATGCCCCAAGGACTATCGCCCGAAGCAGGGGAACCAAGAAGTGGAACAGGTCGTTGGTGATTTCCTGACGATGCAACTAGCAAGTCAGGAAAAGGCCCTCGCAGAGAAGGAAGCCATGTTTGTTGAAGAGCAGAGCCTTGTTGCCACCAGACCGTCCTTTCTCACGCCGCCGGTGTCTGACACAGCCTGGAGTTCATGGATAAGGGTATTCGATCTTCTTGATGTTGATGGCACTTGGAGTCTTACGTTTGAGAAGTTGGCTGGTTCCCAGCTCCTGCCCATTGAGGTTTGTGACTACATGTGCAAGAACATCGGTGGAACTGGATTAGGTGGCCCTCGTGATGGGTTCTCTAAAGAGGAGTTCCTGCAGAAGATGATTGACATCGGCAACTGCCGACCACGCAAGGCGACGCTGAAGCAGTGCAGGCTGTGCGGTGCAGCCACCGACGCTTGAAATTTGGGGAAACTGGAAAGTCGGGTGCTGACATGAACAAGAAGAAACAATTGAATCACAGTGAAAAGTTTTGTTGTCTATGTCATGCAGTTCGAGCCATCAGCTCGTCTTTTCGCCTTTTAGATTTTCTTTTTGCTCTCGCTGTGCGCTACAGCTTCTAAACAATTTGGACACGGCCCCTACTCATTTGCAGCTTGGTGATAAGCGTGTTACAGGCTCCAGTTCCGTGGTGATTAGATGCATGTTATTCTACTGGCCTCGCACTTGGCAAGTCTTCTCACAGCAGAATGAAGTCTTGAGGAAGCTGGCGAACAGATTTTCTTTTTGCTTCCGCTGTGCGCTACAGCTTCTAAACAATTTGGACACTGCCCCTACTCATTTGCAGCTTGGTGATAAGCGTGTTACAGGTATGCAGGGCTCCAAGATTACAAAAACTGTTGATTAATGGGTCGGGGCAGTACCCAAAGAATATGTACGGTACGTGGTGATTAGATGCATCTTATTCTACTGGCCTCGCACTTGGCAAGTCTTCTCACAGCAGAAGTCTTGAGGAAGCTGGCGAACACAGTTGCAGCGAGTCGAACGAGCAGCTAGCATCGGCAGTTGTTCGGGACTCTTTGAATCATTCTTATAGAGCTTGAGGAAGCCTCTGTCATCGTAACCCAAACGCATTCGGGACAGGCAAATGCGGAGGCAGGGCTTCGGTTTTGATGTTTCAGTAACTCTCGGCCGTGCCGGTCTGTGAGATCTGTGGGCCTAGTTTCAATTCTCATCCAGAAACATCGAAACCAACTCCTCGATTTCCGAAGTCTGGCCGGCTCAGCCGTGCCAGACGATGGCAGATAGCAGTGAGCAAGAAGGCACCCCGTTAATCGGTCTGCCGACTCTGCTCAATTTTCTCTCCGATGGGATCCGACTACAGGCATTTTACTGATTCGAGCTCTTCATTTTTCGCGTTGCTAAGAGGCAGTTGCGATTGGTCTTCCAGGCAGATGCTTGCCCGTCACAGCCCTGCCAATCAGGCATATGGCTCGGCCCGAGGTGACATCAGCAGCTCGATGACATTTTTGCCTATGCACCGGAATGTGACAATCAGAAAAAAATCCACGCGGCCGGCACGCTGCCAAGAGAACAGGGAGTCGCCAGCAAAGCAGCTTGAGGTTAGCTGGGCGGCAGCTTGTCTGGTCAGGTGCCCTGGCAGAGCACTCTACTCGAAGTTGCCTTACGAGGCGGGTGTGGCTACAGACTCTGTCTGCTTTGTGATGCATGGTAGTTTACCGGGAGTGAGGCACGACTCAGTCACTGCCCGTCGGCCGCCGGTGCATCATGCGATATTTTGCGATTCTTCTGTATCGTGCAACCCCCGCAGCTCGGGCACATGAGGTGGAGTCGGATTTATCACGTCTAGGAGTCTAGCAAGCCAACCCCCAAGCGGGCGGTGCTTTCGCAATTTCGGCCATGCCCCCGGCACAAGCACGTCGCGTCTCCCGAGGGCGGCATTATACTAAGGTGGACGTCTCGAGCAAGATGTCTGCACTTATATCGCTGCCAAGCACCCCCAGGGCATCCAGGGCCATGAGGACGAAGACGACTCTTGATGGCCTGAGCCCCGCGACCTCGAAAGCCGACATGGCCTGGAAGCATGAAGCAGTCACAGAGGATGGTTTGCAAGACCTACCTCCGATAGGTGAAGCTCTCACTGCGACCACCGAATCCAAGGCGAGACCGGAATCGCGCGGCTCGCAGTCAAGGTCAGGGCAGAGGCCTCGACCAGCAAGCAGCATGGCAAGCGGCACACGGAGTCCGGGTTGGAGGCCAGAGAGCCAGACAACATCTGATTAATCATATAAATCGAATGATAGTCATGTATCCAGAATTCCAATTAACCCTGTAACAGTCTGTGGAGACTGTAGAGCCGCGCCGGAGGCCGAGCAGCATGTCTGGCCAGCGTCCGGGCAAGGCTGCCACGGTGAGTAGCGCAGATACTGGCTTGCCCGCAGCTTCCAAGAAATCTACGCGGACCATTGCGGAGGTGGACACCACCCGGTCTGGGTCCTCTGCAAGGCAACATCAGCTTCGCAGGAGACTGTCCTTCGCGGCGGACACGCTGGAGGAAGTGGCATGCGCAATCCGGGAAGAGGCGCCACAGATAATCAAAGCGTAGATAGACACAGTACTTTCATTGGGGCATGATCAGCTGCTTACGCTGCATGAAAGGGTGTCAGAAGTGCCCCTGCGTTAGTGCAGCAGATTTGGGCTGCAGCTTCTTGCAGGAGCCGCAGCTCGACTGGCTGCAAGACTCCTGGGGACGAATTCTGACAACCATGCCCGCAGCCGATTGCAAGTCAATCTCCATGCGCTCGCTTCAGAGCTGGGTGGAGGTCTACAACCGCTGGCAGGCTTGTGGTGGCTGGAATCCCGGCCACGCCCCGGCAGTCATGGATGCATACCAATTTCAAGAGCTGCTTTCCGTGCCAATGCGCGAGCCTTAGTTGTCCACAGAAGTCGGAGCACTTGCTGTTGATCCGACCCTCGGGTTACCGAGGCCAAAAGTCTTGGAGTGGATCAGAACCTTCGACCCAGCCGGCTACATGAAGCTACAGCAGACCCGCGCAGCATCGGAGTATCGGAAGGTGAGAGTATCAATCCCCGCCTTCCTGACTGCGGCCATCGCCATGTCCAGCACTATCTCCAAGAAGCAGAAGATCCGCTTCCTCGTCGGTGTCTTCGACGAGAACGACAGTCGAACCTTCGAGCTCCCGGAGTTCACCGCCATGATCTCCTCCTTCCTCTATGGCGTGGAATGTATCTTCGGCATCGCAAACCTCTCGGGGTGCTCAAGCCGGCAGAACTTGGGAGACCCGGGCGGCATTTTGTGGGGAAGCTTTCTAAAGAGCAGCTTTGTCTCTCTTTTTGGTGAGGAGGGGTCCTTTTTTTCACCATCCGAACTCAGGAAAGCAAATTTTCCAAAGGATCTTAGACGATGCGCTGAGCAAGGCAGACTCAGAGGAGCAGAGGTCGAAGTTGGAAGCAGGATCGGCACCTCTTCCAGCGATTGAGAACTGGTTTCTGGGGCTCGGGGGAGATCCACTCTCGGTCCCTTTTGCACTCTTCCTGGAGCGATTCTCTGTAAGAGGCCTTGATGATGATCCAGAGATTTTCGAACATGAAGAGCGCAAGTTTCGCTTGTCTCATACGGCCCCCGTAAATCCGCCAATGGAGACTGCCGCCTCGCTAGACTCTGGATTTCTACGTCGAAGTCAAATCAGAGTTGTCCGAGATCTCTTTCGCTATTGTGCGTCGTCTCGCCACTTCGACATCTCCCATGCCGAAGCGGAGCAGGTCTTAGACACGACGATAGATGCAGAGTTCTGGATCGCGAAGCTATGGCCAGCGCTGGAAGACATGGAAACACTCTGGCAGAATCTAGGTAGGCCACTGGGATATTTTACTTGTTCCCATGTAGGGCATTGTTAGGCTTACACAGGTCCTTATTACTAATACTGGGTTTTCGTTACGGGGTTTAATTTTAAGCTACCACAAAGAAAAAGAAACCAACTATAGATCCCTCTTATGCCAACTTAAATTAAATCTCTTGACAAGAGCCCAGATTAAGACTACATTCTTCAGAGTCTCCCGGAGCCCAAGCTAGGAACGGCGCAAAGTTCAGCCTCGCTTCCTTCCTGAAGAAGATCAGCCCTCGCGCCTCCGCCCGACATCTCCGAATGTTTCAGAGCTGGCTCAAGGAGCTTAGGGTTTAGGGTTTAGTGGTTGGCAGAGTCTGGGTTCAAAAAAAAGAGTTTAGGGGTTAGGGGTTTAGGGGTTTAGGCTACCTTTTTAAGGACTTATATAAGGAAATCATAATAAGGAGCCCTAAAAAGGGTAGGTTCTTTGGTAAACCCCAAAACCGGTCCCATGAGCTCCTATAGGCTCCAAAGCCTCAACTGCTTTAAGCCTCAAACACGAAGTCTTACACTGCTCTTGACTGTAAAGTCTTTCCGTTGTAGCTTCGTCCTAGCACAGGCGGCAAAACAACGCACGAAATACCCTTTAAACCCTACGTCAAGGATCATGGGACTTTCTAACAAGAGAATGAGAAAGGAGGGTATCTATACTTGTAATTTAGTTATAAACCCCAATTAAGGTACTTGTAACCTTATTTACTAGGTGAAATGACCTCCAAATATCTTTGCACATGCCAGGAGCTGGACCAGCTCGAAGGACTGCGGGGGCAGGTTGATCGGACTCGTCAGTTGGCGCGCGATCATGCGGACTTTGTCGCTCGCCCGGTGTTGCCATTGCCCATTCGCCAAGAGATGATCATGGATTATGGCAAATCTGGGAATCCGTCGCAGGCCAAGGATGATTTCATAGCCGCGATGTGCCCCAGCGAGTACCGCCCGAAGGAGGGCAACCCAGCCGTGGACAGCGTTGTCGGCGAGTTCTTGGCCTTGCAACTCACCAGGGAAGAAGAAGTCCTAGCTCAGAAAGAGGCTCTCTTTGCCTATGAGAAGGCTCCAAAAGCGACAGTCAAGTCCTTCCTGAAGCTGCAGGTCCCGGAGGCTTCTTGGAGGCTTTGGGACAGAGCTTTCGACTTGCTCGACCTCGACGGTGCGGGCCTCTTGACTAGAGACAAGCTTGCTGGCTCCCACCAGATCCCATATGAAGTCTGCAACTGGATGTGCCAGCAGATGGGGAGCATGGACTCAGCTGACAGGGGCAGCTTTAGCTTTGACAAAGGGGCCTTCATGAAGAAGATGGCGGATCTCAGCAATCGCTGCTTGAAGCTGGCAAGCAAGGAGTGATGTTTCTCAGCGCAGAGCCACGAGGTTATTTTTGAGAGTGGACGCCGCAGGTGTCAGACGGTTCTGATCATTGTCTCAGCCATGGCAGGGAGAGCACCCGCATTCCAGCAGACGGGCTTTAATCACGTACCTGCTACTAATACCATACTTATGGGTTTGATCCTTAAGTAACCGACTTTCCTCACAGTCTGCTGG